TTCTGTTTGAGAGGGAAGCGTCTGGCTTTAGATCACTGCAGCCTCACTGAGTTTAAGGGGGAGTTTGTAGTTGCCGATTCTCCACTACCTTGTTCTGTGAAGAATCAACACGACACCGAAAAGGGCAGGGAGAGCAAGATTTTGGAAAGGACATGTCAACTTTGTCATGTTCTTCCAACAGAGACAAGAAGAACGATTCCATGAAAGAGAAGAAAAAACAAGAGGTGCATCGCTGGCAAGCATGTCAATAGTTGTAACGATCATACGAGGAAAGCAGGATTTTTCACTGGGACTACAGCAAGCTGGGAAAAATGGTGCCGTGGCCCTCATGTTTTGTAGGGAACTGGATGGGGCCCTTAGAAAAACATGCTTTTGGGAGCCACTCCTGACTGCCCATGTTAAGGCTTCACTGAAATGTGGCAACAGCTTATCTTATCGAGGGCGATCTTCTCACTACTTTTCAGAACTCTTAAAACCAACAGGTAGAGCTGTGGCTCTGAAGGGCGCCAAAGAACAAAACGTTGAACCTCGTTCCAGCCACAGGGGCAAGAACTCGAGGAGAGATGAAAAGCAAAATAGGGCCAAGACCCAAAATGAGTTTGAAGACCTTGGTCCTGCCCGTTTGGTCCACAGCAGAGATGCCGACTTAACCAAGCACCGTCTTAAAAGAGGTTGTGATTGTTGTTGTTTTTTTCCCCCTCAAACTCCTTTCAATCCCAGTGGCTGCTCTTGAGGCACTTAAGAAATAGAGATCATATTTCTTCTGAAGAAAAATATGCCGCTGAGGCCAAATGACGGCCTCCAGGATATGTTTTTGGTCCTCAAACCGTTATGTAGATATGGGGCAGTAAATAAACACACGAGTACATATTCTATAAGAGTGATTGGAAGCGGTCTGAGCAGATTGTAATTAATGCTTGACATAAATAGCTACTCAACATGTCTTCTGATCTATGCCTTTAAGCACTGCTCTCCAAGCTAATGATCTCTTGATGATCTGGCTTACAAACCCCATTATCCCCAGGTAACAGGGTCACTGAGGGGTTGATGATAATTGCTATCTTTGCAGCGTATCTGGTTAGGGAAGGCTGCCTTTCAGGCTGGGGAAGGAAGTACATCGTCTTTGCCAGCTCTCATCTAACTTTGTTGGCATGGGAGAAGACATTGCGGAAAAGAACAGAAGATGCTAAGAAGAACCTCCTGAGTTCAGATCTTGGGCCCACGGATTCCAGCGCCCTCTTTCCAGCAACGGTCAGCTCCTCAGCTGTCCACAAGCAGGAGAGGAAAACCAAGACCCATTGGTTCTCAAAAAGAGATATTGTGTCCTTCAACCGGCCAGTGCTTGGAATGGCTTCAAAGTGGTATAGTTACAGGCACTGCCTTCTTGCATAACACAAGGATGGCAACGTTGCTTTTCAAAATAGCATAATGTGTCCGACTGAAATTACTTTATTCATGCAATGGCTTGTGTTTTCTAGTTCCTTTGGAATCCTAGAATCGTGGAGTTGGAAGGAGCCTATAAGGCCATGGAGTCCAACTCGCTGCTCAAGGCAAGAATCCAAATCATGATACTTTAAAGGACTTTTTAAGAATCATTTTTATTGTTTCTCCCTCTTCCAGACCCCAAAATTTATGGCATCCCTCTGTCGGTCTTAGGGTGTGATCCCACGGGCAAAGAGCTTGCATTTTGGACTGTGGTCTAGTGAGAGCGATTTCCTGCTGAGAGCTGAACTCCAGCCCGACCCCAATCCATACCGAAGCAGAAGCATTTTTGGTCCCATCTAAGGCTACGTCTTTTAGGGGCTGGCCTGGAGCGAGTCCCCCATTGTGGAGATTCCCTCTTGCGAATTCCAGTGCAATCAGACATGCACCTTTCTCGCCCTCTGATCTCACTCTTAATCCTTTCCCAAAAGAACAGAAGATCATGAAAGAAGGGATGAACGCCCTACGTAACAAATAATGTAACCAATTATTTTTTCAACATTGTAATGAGTAACAGCAACAAGTTACATTTCAAACACTGTAATAAGTAACAGGAACAAATTACTTCTTAGAAGTCCATTTCCCCAGTTCCCACCAGTATCTGCGGTGACTTTTACTAGATCTTTCTTGCTTGTTCTGTTGTGGTGTTCTTGAGCAGAGATGCCCACATGGAGAAACAGATGAGAATATCAGGGGGGAAAGCTTCAAAGTATTTTCTCCAACATGTTACTTATTTACACCAGTGGTTCTCAGCCTGGGGTTCCCAGAGGTTCTTGAACTGCAACCCCCAGAAATCCTGGCCAGCACAGCAAGATTTCTGGAAACTGCAGTCCGAGAACATCTGGGGACCCCAATTTGAAAACCACTGCTTTATACAACAAGTTCTTTATACAACAAGCTGGGAACATCACACCAGCCTGGTTCACATGGCGCAGTAACCCAGATTTTCCCCTCTCTTATCTTTGCTTTCTAAAAATCTGGCCTCCTGTGAATGAGCAATGGCATTGCACTCCGTGCTCTCTCCCAATAGGCGTGGCTAAACAAACCAGGAAATCTCCACCTGAAGCTGGTTTAGTGTTATGTCAGACCAGCTCCCTGGCTTGCTCCTCACCAAAGTCACAAACCAGGGTTGATGTTTAACACACTGGCTTAGTTCGGAGAGCATCAATCTATTGACCATACAGGCTGGAGATGATAGATGCTGTCATCTAAGAGGGCCTCAGTTGGGGGGGGGGCAGACTGCCTTGCCCACTGAGAGAGGTTATTAAGGGGTTCAGAGGTTATTAAGGGGTTTGGCCTATCTAAAGGGAATCAAATGGACACCCCCGTTCTGAATAATCATCTTGTGTTCTGGAGAAAACAAACACGATGCTAAGGATGTTATTTCTGGACTGCCGTTTCCCGTATCACCAACTTTCTTTCTTTTTCTCTCCTTCCCCCCCCTTCCCAAATTTTAAACACATCAAGATATTCTGGAACAAAATGAAAACTTCGGTATCCATGGTAAGTGTCACCATTTATTACCACATCCTCCCCACCCCCCACCCCCAACGAGGGACCACCGTATTAAAACTTCATAAGCATTCTTAGCAGCAGCTGAGTTTCTCTTTAATTTTGCCAGCTACCCCTTGGCACTGCCGACACAGAAACTGCCCAGAGGTGTCAATTTCAAAATATTTACTAATAGACGCCCAATTTCCCAAAATCTCTCCTGATTCACCGCTTCCTGGTGGGGCGTCAACGGTCCTCTCACCTCGATTTCAACACTTCCTTCATCTCTGGAGCCGATGGCGATTTAATAAATCACAGACAGACGGAACCCATCGAATACTGCAGCTGGGTTTTGCCTTTAGATGTGTGCAAATGTTGTGGCGACAACAGGGAGGGGTGAGGGAGGATCACAACAGGTACAGAGATGCTACAGGTGGCCATGAGGTTTCCATTCAGAGAGGAAAGCATTATGTTAAATAGGTAGAACATGTTGCGGACAAGAGTAGAGAGACCTGTAACAGGAAGTACGATCTTTGGGTTGATTCCACCAGTCCGTAGCAAGGACTGAGGACCAGGTAGGCAAACGGGAAGAAGATGCCTGACAGAGATGAAATGGCTTGACTTCGGGGAACAGCTGGATCGGCTTCAAAGACGGAGGTAACACTTCAGAATTGCTGAGAAAAGGGGGCACGTAGGTAGAGACTTCCGTCTATGGAATGCAGAATCTCAGAGCAAAGCTTAAAAAGCCGCCCAAGGATATATGAGAAAACAGAAATCATAATTATATGTAGTTATATAGTGTCCTCTCTTTTCTCCATGCTCAAAGCGCTTAACTACACTCTCTTGTAATCTTTACAACTTAGAAAGGAGGCGGTGTGATTACCCCATGTGGAACAATCAGAACGAGAGAGAGAAAAGGGGGGGTTGTCGAAGGCCATCTCTACTGGAAGGAGAGGCTTTGGAATGCACGGCTCAAATTCCTGCCCTCTTCAGCTCTTCACTGACACTGCATTTTAAGAGCCCTTGTTGCCCAGTGCAGGCTGGCTTTCCTCCTCTTCAAAAATCTCCTTCCTGGTCCTGTATCTCCTCATGGACATGCAGAGCGGAAGGGGCCAAGCCATCGCTCTTCCTCTTGCCCTCGCCGGTTCCCTGTCCCGTGCTTGTTTGTGCACAGGATACAAGATGGGTCACACAGCCCCTTGCACGTTGGGAAGCTTCCCAGTGTGTACACCTCCTCTTCTACTCATCATTAGACAAAAAGATGCTGACCATAACAGAGAGAGAGGCAGCTTGAACTAGAAGTTCAGGTGGTCTGGAACCCAAACAAGGGAGACAGGGCAAGCTTGTGAGTCTCCCTCCCTTCACTGGTCTCCTTGTAAAGGGCCTCCAAAATGTTGACATTTCATGATGCCTTCATGAATATTTGAGGCCCGAGCATCCTTACGGAGCAGGATCGGCACCTGGAGGCCTCCAAGCGGGATGCAGCCTTGGATTCTTGTCAAAATGTTGCCTCGCCAGGAAGCTTTGGGTGATGCCCTCAGATGCCACCTTGCCAGGAAAACGTATTCTTGAGAAACATACGAATGTCTAGTCTAGGAAGCTTCTGGGAGTAGTGATCTGGCTTTGAAACGAGGCAGAGACCCCCCACCCTGGCTGGGTTATTTGGGGAGCTGCTGTCCAAAACCACCGCTTTCCTCCTCTCTCCTCTCCATGTTCTCTGAGGTGATCCACTGCATCAAGGGTGTTTCTCGCAGAACCGAAAGCTGTCCACCCCTCAACAAATAAAAAGTAAAGAGAAATCCACATACAACTCACAGCTCAGGGAGCTGGCAATACGATGGCCCGTCTTTCCTAGTTGGCTATATTATTTCCATGGAACGTGTACAAAAGGAACGTATATATATTAATGCCGGATCGACACAGATGCCAAACAACACTTCCTAGAACGGCCAAACGGAGAAGGCTGGGTGCCGTTCTGGAACCGTGGGAGGCCAAAGCATCATCTGCGGAGGTCCCCTTGGTTTCTCATGGCACAGTACTGCAGATCTGGCCGTTTACAAAAACTTCACATTGGAAAGAAGGGCTGGAAAAGAATGAATTACAAAACCTGGGGGAGGGGGGGGAGATTTAAAAAAACACACGAAGATACACTTTGCCAAGCTGTGAAGGCACGATGGATGGAGTCTGACCCTTCTCCTTGTGTTTGGATTTGAAATGGGCATTCATCACGTGGAGCAACCATGGATGTAGACGCTACTCTGAACTCGCCACCATGAGCATTTCAGGACTTCAGAGGGCCAGTATCTCCCAAAGGGACTGGTCAATCAGAGGCTGGGTTCTTCTCTCGTTGGAGCGACGTTGCAAGATATGGAAAGTTCAATGCGGGAAATGTAAGACGGAGGAGCTTTGTATTAAAACCAAGCCGCTCGCGTCAATCTGAGACACAAATGCCAGGGAGATGGGATGGTGGTCAGCGTAACTGTTGTGGACACGAGGAGGACGTGTTTGACTAGAGAAACGATTCCAGACTCATCCACACCTGCTGTTTTCCTCGTTGCCTCCCTGATGGGGCTCAAATGTCAGTTTTAGAATCTGGCTGTGACAAAATGATCTCCCAAAGCAGCACAACGAGAGAGGAAACTCCGCTTATGAGGCAAAATAACTAAGCACAATTATAGAATCAGCTTGTTTTGCTGTTGTTATTTTGCCGGGGAGGAAAACATGGCATGGGAGGAAACCAATGTAATCTATTAAAAATATATATATCTTAACAGCCACCTAGGCGTAATTCCTTATTCTGTCAACTAGTAAAATCAAGGCAGAGAAAACCGATTAAGAGTACTATCAAAACTTCCCCTGCAAGGAAGAGCCGAAGGGAAAACAAAGTCGATCTGAAAACCAACTGCACATAGTCTGGAAGGTCCTCCTTTTATGAGCAGGGCCCTTCCCACCTACAAATGGAAAGGCCTGATTCTGCTTAGGAAGCAGTGCTGGGCTCAGATGGGGGGGGGTGTCAGGATATGCTGGTGGTTCTGTCTGTGTCTCTCTCCCCCTCCCTGTGTTTCTATCCCTGGTTGGCACCAGGGGAGGTTGTGGGAGGGTTCTAGATGTGGGCCTCCATGGCCGGCGAGCCCGGAAGGAGCTCTCCGTTCAGAACCGTCTCTGAAACCAGCATCTTATCTTTCCCCGAATCCAGCCGTTTCTTCTTGAGCTGTCCTTGATGGATCAGGGGAACAAGGGCCAACACCAGGCCCCCGACGATTGGAGGGATTCCGGCAAAGTAGAAGGCGAAATGGTAAGTCCCAAAATGGTCACGAAGAAACCCTAGAACACACAGACAAAAAAGAGTAGCTTTGCTTTTTCAAGCGTGGTCATTGCAAAGACAACCCAGCCGCCACCCCCACCACCCGCAAGCTAGCTTTGCGCCATTAGACTCATCCTGGACCCCATCTTTGCAAGGCGTAAACCCAGGAAATCTCCCACAGCCTCCAGTTTCCTGTAGAGTCAGATCTGCTCCCTGGTTCTAGTAGAAAAACCAGCATCTTTACCCTCACCCATCAGAAGCTGGTTGCAATTTAAAATACAAAAAAAAAGGCAGAAGGCATCTTCTGATTTTATGTAGGAGGGCTAGAGGCCAAAGAAAGGGAGCCAGAAATGAATCTTAGATCCGTCCTATTCATGGTGTCAGCATTTGCCTCTTGGGTGCATCAGGCTTCGGGATCTTGAAAACCGGGACTGATTGACTTGCTACATTTAAACAAGGAAGCAATTCTGTCCCGTTGAAGGCCTGCTTTCAAGCTAAAGACTGCCTTCATCTCATGTCCTCTCTGGCGGTGGTTCTCAAACTGGGGTCCCCAGATGTTCTTGGACTGCCACTCCCAGAAACTGTGGCCAGCACAGCTAGTGGTGAAGGCTTCTGGGAGTTGTTGTCCAAGAGGATCTGGGTGACCCCATTTGGAGAACCACTGCTCTAGGGCAGAGGTGGGCAGCTGGAGAGGGCCTGCACCTTCCCTCTGTGCCCCACTGTACTCTCCTCGAGTCTAGGCTGGAAGGGATGCAAGGGAGATGGCCTTCTGTCTTTCTGCTGCTTTCGCCTCTGCAAATGGAAATTGGTTCGTGATCTTCTCTGGGGTTGCTCACCTGCAATGGGGGGACCTGCTGTCATTGGAACGGCCATAAGTCCCAGAAGGTAACCGATGGCTTGCGAAGCCTGCAGGGGCCCGACCAGCTCAAAGGCAATGGGGGCCATAATGGTTATGAAGAGTCCGTCGCAAAGTCCGAGGAAAAGGCAGACCACAATGACCGCCCAAAACTCTTTGCACTGTGGGAGCATCATGCACATGATCCCCAGGACTATGAACGAGGCAACCTGTGGAGGGAAAGCAGGGACGGAGACTCAGATAAGGGGAGAGACAAATAAGGAGGCATAGGGGTCAAAGTAGGTATTAGGGATAGTCCCTCCTGAGAAGCAAGAAGCAATGAATTCAAGGATGTGATTCTGGCTGGCCTTTATGCTCAAGCAATCGTATCTGCTAATGAAGCCCATGCTTACCTCTCAGCAGCCGATTGCAAAACAAGCGAATGAAGTTGCAAACTATGGGAGGTGTGAGAAACTCCTGCTGCAACAATCAGCTATCGTAAGTGTTTAAGGAATGCTCTCTTCAAACAGTATGCTTCTCCGTGACACGTGGTTTGCCCCATAACAGGCTGGAAATCAGAAACGGTGCTTTAGAGCAGGGCTGGCTGACTCCTTCTGTCCTCCAACCACTGCCCAGAGCATCATTCCCCTTGTGCAGGCAGAGCTCCACAACAGGATTTCAGTCAGGGTTTCCACAATAAGAATTCCAGGCAGAGCTCTACAACAGGATTTCAGTCGGGATTTCCACAATAAAAATTTGTTCTCCTTCAATCCACCTCTCCTCCTACAGGTATAAAGTGCCATCTCCAACAGAGCTTACCTCCCACAGATAGTCCCTCTCTGAATTTTTGTCATGGTTTACAATTACTGTAGCAGCACAATTTAAACTCAGCAATTATTTGTAAAGTGGTGTTTTTCTGTGATTCTCAACCAGCGGCCGATGTATCACTGATGTGATTCAGAAACAGTTGAGGTGGGTAACCAGGTTTTAATGAAAATGACAAAGAATCTACAATCTTTTTGTAAATAAACAAGAAAAGGAATAACAGAATGGGTCCAGACGTTGTAGGACTGCAACTGCCAGCAGTCCTCACCGTCGGGTAAGTATGATGGAGTTTGTGGTCCAGTCACATCTGGATGGTGCAGTCTGTCCACTTTGGGTGTGAAGTACAGGCCTGAGTCCAGTTGGCAATTTGACCCTGAATAAGGGAAATGGAATAAGCCTTGCGGGCAACTGGCCCACCCGTTGAGGTGCTGACTCCATTCCTCAGTCCATGTTTGGTCACGCCATGAGGCTCATCTCCAGCAACACAACCAGAGTCTGTATAAGGAGTAGCAGGCGATTTGCCACCAAAACTGAGACAATTTACCAAGCATGAGAGTAAATCATAAACCAGATTGTGGCCATTGGTTCTCCTACAGAAATATTCACGTCCTAGGAGGGAGGTTGGGTAATCAATCAGCGCAGTGATGGAATGGGCAGGCCCCACCTACCTGTAAGTAAATTTTTTTCAGCCCGGGGATGAGGTCACCAATGGGTCCTGAAGCCAAACGGCCGACCCCCGACGTGGCCCCCATGCACACCAGCACAATCCATGCTTTCTCGTCTTTGAACTTCTCTTCCACGTATTTCACCTGAGAAAACAAGAGAGGTGGAAATAAGGGATATCCTGCTTCCATGGGAAAGCAACTCTGATGTCCACTTAAAGCCCCCTCAGATCTGCTGGATCCTTGGGCCAAGCAGCAGGCTTGGCATTTGCACTGGGCTATGAGTGACTCCAACGAGCCAGTGGACCACTCCGTAGCCGAAGATCAGGAGCTGGCTCAAGGGCTCGAGCCAGGAGAAGGGGTGGACCCCAATTACATGGGAAGGGGCAGTCGATTTGCTCTGGGTTTTAGCCTGAACTTTATAACAGCCATCAAAGTTGCTGGGTCCCACTCCCAAAATATGGTCAGTACCATGGAGAGCTCCTCAGCTTGGTTCTCCACTGGAGCCACTGGCTTCTCCCCTACAACCATGCACATAGAGCTTGGGAAAAGTTCTTTATGGAAACTACATCACCCAGAATCCTCAAAGGAAATATTTGCCCCCCCCCCAAACTCTGACAGCACCTTACGTTGAACAAGCCTCAACTCTGAGCTGCCTAGTAGGAGATGTGGGCTCTGCAGGTTGAGGGCAGCTGTTCCATCCTCACAGTAGTTCTAAGTGGACATTTCCAAAACATCATCATCATCATCATCATCATCATCGTCATCATCATCATCATCATCATCATCATGCTTTAATATATTAATGATAGAAAAGGGCCTAGAGATTGAGACCATCTCGGATCATCTGGTTTCTTTGAACAAAGAAGCCAGACGATCGGAGATTGCATCTGATAGCTTCCTGAGTCACTCGACTGCAGCAGAATACTGCCTCTCTCAACTTTGAGCACAATGACGAAGGCACTGCTGAGACAAAAGGCCATTATCAAGGTTTGAGTCATAGAACGGCCCTTATGCTTCCCACTGGAGTAATATTCAAATCGTTACTTTGATGACTGATAAGAAGAACAAGTTCACCAACACTTATCGTAGAAAGGATCTGAGGCACCAGCTCACATAATTCTGAAATTTCTTTGGGTGGCAACCTAGAATTAGCCTTGGCACTATCATGGAGCAGGAAGAAGTCAGCCAACCAGGCTTAGATCCGAGACAGTATCAAAGTGGCTTCTTGTTTTCTTTCGTATGGTTGTCCTGAAACGTCTTCATCAAAGGTCAGTCCCTTCGGTTCTGAATGCCTACCCACCCCCAGTTTAGTACAAGCAAGAGACAAGGTGGTTTTCTTCCCCTGATCCAAACTAGAGATGGGAAATTTTACCTTTTCTTTTTAAAAAACTGCAATTATATTCCAGCTAGTGTCCTCCCTGGTCATGAAAACTGGGTACTCCGGAAGCTGTGATTCTGAAAAGTCAATGGGAAATTTTACCTTTTCTTTTTAAAAACTGCAATTATATTCCAGCTAGTGTGCTCCCTGGTCATGAAAACTGGGTATTCTGGAAGCTCTGATTCTGAAAAGTCGCTTTTCCTATCTCTGATTTCACTTCACCTGACTTTTATTTTTAACTTAATTGGGACAGCGCAATGGGATTTTACATATACAGTGGACCCTCGACTTATGGAATTAATCTGTATTGGAACGGTGGCTGCAGGTCGAAAAGTCTGTAGGTCAGGTCTCCATTGACCTACAATGCATTGAAAACCGATTAATCCATACCTGGCCGTTTTTGTTCCATTTTGGTTTTTTTCCCGGTCTGTAGGTCGATTCTCTGGCTGCAAGTCGAACCTAAATTTTGCAGCCAGGGAAGTCTGTAACTCGAAAAGTCTGTGAGTGAAGCCGTCTGTAAGTCGAGGGTCCACTGTATATATATGCTGAATAAAAGTCAGGTGGAGTGAAATCAGAGATAGGAAAAGCAACTTTTCAGAATCACAGCTTCCAGAATACCCAGTTTTCATGACCAGGGAGAACACTAGCTGGAATATAGGTTAGGCTTCAGCACCTGGGACAGCTCAGAGAGAGAGAAAGAGAGAGAGAGGAGCTGTCCCGGGTCCTGAAGCTTAACCTCTTTCTATATACAGTATATAGTGAGTAAAATCCTGGACAGATTTGCTCCTCCTCTGACCAAAACATGGCCACCACCCACCTCGGCCACCCCAGCCTTCCAGCTCCCCCTGCCTCCTGACATTCTCACCAAATACGTGTACGGGACAAAATATCCAAGAACAGCCGTGGCAATCCCGAAAGCCCAAACCCGGTAGGTCTTCTTTCTGAACACTCTCAGGTTGAAATACTTCCTCATCTGGGAGGCACACTGCTGCCTGCAGGTGCGGCTGTCCAGTTTGACATGCCTGACATCGTGTGGATCAGAGGTTGAGGGGAACATGGGGCGGAAGGTCAGAGACAAGAAGATCTGGACCAGCATCAGGGTGCTGAGGACTTGGAAAGTGTGGGAGAGCCCGATGGTATGGCCGATGATCTCCAGGAGGAAAGGGAGGCTCATGGAGAAGAGGCAGCTTCCGGCTGTCACCAAGCCATTGGCTAAACCCAAGCGCCGTTTGAAGTAATGCCCGAGGATGACCAACGATGGCTGGAATGCAAATGAACTGCCACATCCAAAGAGGACGCCGTAGGTGAAGTAACGGACTTCGAGGGACCTGTTGGAAAGAAATGAATCCATAAGAGTTCCCGCTAAGCAGCAGCATCTTCTTGTGAAACCAATTGAGTAGCCCAGTGGTGGCCAATCTAGGGTGATAAGCCAAATGTTCTTGAACTACAACTCCCAAAAGCCTTGGCCAGTACAGCTAGTGGTGAAGGCTTCTGGGAGTTTTAGTCCAAGAACGTTTGGGGACCTAACATGGGGAACCACTGGATTAGACCAGTGGTCCTCAACCTTGGTCCTCCAGATGTTCTTGGGCTTCAACTCCCAGAAATCCTGGCCAGCAGAGGTGGTGGTGAGGGCTTCTGGGAGTTGTAGTCCAAGAACATCTGGGGAACCAAGGTTGGGCACCACTGGATTTGACTATCAAAATCCTGCTCCATTTATAGGATGCCATGACAGGGAACAAATGACGGTGCATCACTTAAAAATCATCTGAAGGCCCAAGGTTGGGCACCACTGGATTAGACTGTCAAAATCCTGCTCCATATATAGGATGCCATGACAGGGAACAAACGACGGTGCATCACTTAAAAACAAGAAACACAAAATAATGACCTCAGACCATGAACTCTATTTAAAACAGTTTAAAACAAAATAGTGCCCCGGCATTAGATGGGCGTGGGATATAAATGCAATGAAATAAATAAATAAAATTCAGATGTACTTAGCCAGCCTGTATATTGCCTAACCAAGAAAGATCTATAGATTTTGCCAACTATCTGAAGAAAGCCTTAAAATAATAAGATTTTGGACTAATTCTCCAGGAAAAAAAATTTAATTTTAGGCAGAGCAGGGCTCTCAATATTTTCTCCACAGGCATTCAGAAAAAGGAGGAAAAGGTTTGGAAAATAGCAGCAAAATGGCTGCCTGAAATAGATTTTTTTTAAAGTGCAGTTGCCTATGTTTAAACAGAGGACTTAATAAAGCCCTGTCTGTTTAATCTTCTAATTTTCTGCGGAAAGAAAGCTGTTTAAACACTACACATTAATTTTAAATGCACACACACAGAAACACAAGCACACGTACTGCTGGAAGGAGGCTATCTTGCCAAACAAAAAACAACAACAACAACAGAGGACTTGGAACGGAGAAAAGCTTTATAAGTATAATATTTACTTCCTTACACGTCTCTCCTCTCAGCTGGTGAAGGAGACAACGGGGCACAATGGCTCTGCCGTCATTCAAAGGAAGCCTTAAAAACCAATTTTCTGCCCTTCCAGAATCGAGCAATATCAGAAGAACCACAGGGGGAGAAGCACGAGACAGCTTGTGCAATACAGTATGAACTACCCGGCTCCCATCGGGCTTCCTTTCACTACGGAACAAACACGTTCTTTTTGAAAAGGCGCATCAAAGGATTTCCATATGTAAAAAAAAAAAAAATGAACACAAAGGTTAGGACAGATGAAGACCTCCATTTCTCGCTTCTATTGTGCTTCCTCTTTCAGAAAAGCAAAGATAAGCAGGACAGAAAGAATAAATGCTGAGATCGATGCTTAACCGGCATGAATGTCTTCTTTTCATCTCGCAAACTCATTCCTCTTTACTAGCTGTCGGCTTTTGCTTCCAGAGGGTCTTCAACCAATGGTTTTCTAACAAATGGTTTTGCTCAGTGTCCTTGAGGGTGCACAGCAGGGCCTGGGAAACTTACCCAGTGGTGTGGTTGTTAGGAGCCATCATGTCGTCTCCGACTTATCGCGACCCTGCGAATGAGCCATCTCCAAAATGCCCGGTCCTCAGCTGCTCAGCGCTTCTACACTCAAGTTTGTGGCTTCCTTTGTGGAATCAGTCCATCTCATATTCGGTCTTCCTCGTTTCCTCCTGCCTTCCACCTTTCCCAGCATCATTGACCTTTCTAGAAAATCCTGCCTTCTCATGATGTGCCCAAGGTAGGATGGCATTAACTTCAGCATTTTTGCCTCCAGAGAAGGTTCAGGCTTGGTTTGATCTAGGACCCACTTGTTCTTCTTTCTGGCAATCCAGATTATCCACAAAGATTATCTCGCCAAAAAAGGAGGAACTCCTTCAGATCTTTAATGAACCCAATCAAAACAACAACAACAACAATCCCAAATAACTTAATATTAGTACAGCATGCATTTCCGAAGAGAGAGCAAAGATCTGTCCTCATGTTTTGATTTCCTTTCAAGTGCATGATGGTTTTCCTTGGCTAAGATCATGTCTGCTCTCTTATTCCAAATATAAAATAGGATCCAACTAAAGCTATATACATGAACCCCCCCCCTTATTTCAGTGGGCTGGTTAACAAGAGTCAAAACAAGAGTTAAACTCAAGTAAATCTGAAATAACTACAAAGTGACACAAAGATCTCTCTAATTATATAGACTTTTACCTGTAAACCAACATACAGATTTCTATACAGTATTTATATAATCTGCTATTTGTGGCTAATTTGGGCTGGATTGTACACATATAATCTCACATACTGTACTCCAGAAGGTTACAGAAAATTATGCACATTTTGGGTTTTTTATTGCAGTCATGGTAAAATGCCTTATTAATGCTTCTTCTTCTTTTTATCATGTTCCAGCAAATATTTTACTTGGGGGCACAGCCTGTAATCTGGTATCTGGTGAAGAGAGCCACGAAGCTGGCTGGATAGCTCAGTGAGTTTGATGGGAGTTCGATTCCCCCACTGGGCCTCGTGTGAGTAGAGCCAGCCTGGGTGGCCTTGGGCAAGCTGCACCGTCCCAGGGCACCCCCTAGAGGAAGAGAAGGGTAAAGCACTTCTGAGTACTCTCTACCCAGAAAACCCTAAAATCTGAAAAGGGTTGCCATAAGTCCGAACTGACTTGACGGCACATTGTTGTTATTATTCTGAAGAGAGCCACAGGGTATAACATATTAAAAACAGAGACCAAATGGAACACCAGACTGTCCAAAATTCTTCAAAGCTATAGGGGCCAAATTGTTTTAATTGTACCAACATGGAGAACTGTTGACAATCTACATGTGCAGTCCACAGCAAGGGAGAAAACCACAGATATTTAAAGCCTCAAAAACAAACAGACATCGAATCGGGATCAGAACAACCCATTGCAGAGTGAAAAGTAAGTTTCTGAATGCATGAAAATGGCCTTCTCCTCTGAAAACACATCCAGATATTTCCTTTTAGCAGGGCACAGCCAAGCAAAACACACCACGATCCATTTGTCCCTGCTTTTTAGCTCATAAGAAAACACAAACCTCCTCTGTTTTTTAAATTTTTAATGCTGCATTTCCTACTTATTAATGATTTCAGTTTGGAATAGCTCTCGTTTTAAAAGCTGGAGAGTGTGGCCGTCCAGGCTGTGGTAGAGAAAAGAGAGGGCTAATGGAATCTGTTCCAACAGGGGAAAAGGCTATTATTAGGAGGGTAACAAGGAGATTTCAGGAAAGGACAGCTTTGCCTGAGCCCAAATCGCTGGTACAGCCCAGTCCAACAAGACATCCACTGACACTCAAAGCATAGACAAAGCTGCCTGCAAAGCACAGTCCCTGATATGTAAATAAAATATCCCCATCTATCTACAGCACCCTTTCCAGACGTCCAAATGCATTGAACTACAATGCCCATCTATAGCAAACAGAGGATGACAGTTGTAACAAGCCAACATTTCTGGAAGGAACCACAACGGAAGTGGGAGGCCTACAGAATGTTGAGTCTAAAGAGGAGGAAAAAGGCACCATGGACCGGCAAAAAGAGGAGGAGGAGGAAAACCACATGTTTCTGAGAATTAAATGTTTTAGAGGACCAAAACATGAAAGAAGGAACCCCTCTCAAAACATCCTAAGGAAGACTGGACAGTCAGGAGCCTCAAAATAACTTAGTTTCTGTTGGCCAAAATAATTGGAAAACTTAGGGCACCAACATGCCACCCTGAATGCGATTGATCTTATGCAATCTTGGAAGCAAAAACACAATTAGATGCTGTGAGAACTTGACTTAAAGTGGTAACAGATACTTGCAAATTTTCGTACATCCATCACTAAAAGCCTGTCTCGACACATGGAGACACTCCACCCCCAAACCCGGCAACTGCTCAAAGACTTTGTGCTCTTACACAAGAGTGAAAAGAACCCGTCTTCCTTTTTAATGAGCCATGGCGCTTCTCCCCCCCCCAAAAAAAGTAGTTTCTGCACCAAAAAACCACAAAAAACCCCAACAACCCTTGTGTTTAAAACTCTGCATTCTAGCCAAAGCGCAAAGTTTTCTGAACGAAAGAAGGAGTCGTGGTTTTGTCTGTTCCTTTCCTCTTAAAAAAAATGTCTCCGTATTTTTTTAACCAAATAAAAAGGTACCAAAATGGGGAAGAAGAAGAAGTAGAAAGTCCATAAATTCTTGTAATTGCACCTGGCAGGGAAGAAAACTTTCATGTGGTTTGCTTGCTGTCTGAGAGAATGAAATAATCGGTATCGACATCCTTAAGCAGGATGGTGGCGGGGCCGCCCGACAATATCGGGGATCTCCATGGGAGCCAAGGAAAGGACGTTGCTACCTAAAACGTGGTTGCCAAGCCACCACTAACAGTCAAACTCGGCAGCTGCAGGCTGAACAGACAATGCCGAATGCTGCTCCCAGCCTTGAAGTGGAATACACCTCGAACACTCTTTATGCTTGAACTGGGAGCCCTTTGCATTTCTACATTTTAAAGCAAGCTTCTCCTTGTTTTGTTATAACTGCTTGGCCAAGAGCTTCCCAGTTAGAAAACGAAGAGAAGCCACCCTAAATCAGGACTGGCAGCTCAGTGGCTTAGGTCCCTGGCTGTGTAGCCAAAGGTTGGGAGTTCGATTCCCCCTCTGGGCCTCCTTGACAAGGTCCGGGCTCAGCTCTGCCAGTCTAAGGTTATTTTAACTTTCTCCGAGAATTTGTTAGGCACGCCAGAGACCTCGTGCTGTCTACAAAAAGGAGAAAGGAGATTTAAAAGCCAACAAGCCAATGAGCTAAAAATGTCTTCTGAACAGAACGTTGAGGACAGAAGAGAAAGCTCCCTCGTTCTTTGGAGAAAAGAATTCTATCAAAAACAGGGATTTAAGCCAGGTGGACTTTACACCATTTGACTTTAACGCTGGCATAGAATTCTGGCCACCATTTAAAAGGAAAGGGAGCAAATGCAGAAAGGCAGAGGAGGAACCAGCCTGTTTGAGCTTACTCGTCATCAGAGCTTGAATCATTCGGACTGAAAATGAATTCGATGGTGCGAAATTAAATGAATCTGTTGTTAACACTGAAGTCGAAAATGTTTCAATTGCAGGCTCTTGTAACTAGGCTCTTGTAAATGGATAGAAGCCTGCTGGATAGCTCAGTAGTTTAGGTCTCTGGTGGTGGAGCCAGAGTTGAAATCCCCCACTGGGCCTCCTTGGCAGGGGTCAATCTCGATGATCCATAGGATCTCCTGCAGTTCTAAGGTACTGCTATTATTATTATTATTATTAACTATCACCTGATGCAACCACAAATGAAGATGAAATCAGAAGGAGAACCAAGACTACCAAGAGAAGCGATGCCCGCCAGCACCCGTTTCTTCTCTGCCAAAACATGGGCTCCGTTGGGTGGGCGAGTGACAAGCAGCATCACGGCTATTCAAGTGTGAACTGCGTTGAAACCAAAGGTTGGCTGGAGAGGGCACCACAACAACCAAGCTTCAAGCCTTACTTGGTGAAGGAGCTTGAGAAGAGGCCGATGAAGGCAATGGCCGCCCCAGAGGCAGCCGTCGTCCTGCAGCCGATCCGGTCGGTGAAGATGCTGACGATGGGAGAGCAGAGGAAAACCATCCCCATGCCGATCGACCCGACCAAGGCTGCAGAGGAAGGCGGGGGGGGGGGAGGAGAGAGAAGAAGGGGAACATAATCAGCCGAGGATAAAAAGGAAAAAAAAAAAACCCAAACAGTCTGAGAAACCTAATTTGTGCGCTCCTGTGGCGATGTTGACGGGCAATCTGTGGTCCTCTCCTCAGCTGCCAATCAAAAGGCATTGTGCAGCTTTTCAGAGAGTAGCAATAACCCACCAGAATCAATGCGTTAAGATTACCTTTGTTATTTCCTCCATCCAACAGGTAAAATAAGCGCCAACTTCTCTAATGCTTTAAAAGCAACACCTCAAAAGGAGCATAAAGACTTCCTTTCCATTCAGCGAAACAATCATTCATACTCTGTTATGTTCACAGTCCTCTTTCTTAGAAAGAGAGAACAGCCCAAGCTATCCCCCCCCCCGGGGGGGATCAGCTCTACGCAAGTAATTCTTGAGATTGTCATGTCAGATATTTCTGGACTTAAGCTCACCGGGGAAGCCAAAGGGGAGCAGTGGATAAAGCGATGGGTTAAGTCTCCGGAGCCCTGAGCCCGATTCTCCAAAATTCATTTGGAGGGCGGGCCACAGCAAAAGCACTCCCTGAATTTCTCAGGTGCCTTAGACAGGCTATGAGGCTCTCCATCATCATCTCACTACTATTGCTCCTACTCCACGCAAGTTGGTAGAAGTTTAGGTGCTCCCAAGAGTTTGCTGCCTATGCCTACTCCTAGGTTTCAAGTCCTTCAAACCTCCGAGTAAATAGGTTGCAAGTTGACCTTCCCTCCAGGGCTGCTTTTCACCATTTCTTCTGAGTTTCATTACAGGTGCACAACACAGGCGGGGGGGAAAAGGCTGTCTTACGTACCAGTGTTCTTACAAGACATATCCCACAGATGAAGGTATATTTTAAAGAAATGTATACTCCATTGGCATATTGATTTTTGACATGCTCTTAGGTTATTTGGGTGTGTTTCGTGCCACAGTAATTTGTGGCATTTAGATTTTTTTTTTTAAAAAAGTAACTAGAACATAACTTTTAGTTACTTATGTGCAAAAGGAATCCTTATTACTAGTGGTCTTTGGAAGAGGGATTTGAACCCCAAATTGGGACCCCCTACATGTGCTTAGATGACAGCCCTCACAAGTCCCAACACAGTATTTGGGGGAGGCAAAGTTTGGACCACTTGGAAGAGAAAAAGGTTAATCTGCTTACAAACCAAGTAAGATGATAAAATTGTAATTTTCTAAACACTGGCCTTTGTTTTCTGTTAAACTGATGCAAATAACAAATAGTTAAGTATGCAGAACTCCCAGAATAAAAATAGCTAACTTGGTTTAAGATAATGAGACAGGCAGGATCTCTGGACAGAAATAGAAAATAAAAATTAAAATAAGTCAAAGAAAGCATGTATGTTTAGAAATAACAACTTGATGGCCGCTTCTTCTGAAAGAGGTGGTACGTCTTTCCACCGTGTTTATTTTCAGGTGCGCTTGTACAGGAGGACAAAAGCTGAAGGATCTTAAATGCACACAGAAACAACCACCCCATTGAGCGGAGGAAACAGAGGCAGGACTGGAGGACGAGACTCCTGAACTTTATACATAAATATGTGCTCAAAAGCAATTCTGGAAAACAAGCCCAGGAGATTAAGAGGCGACGCATTGTTCCCTGGTTTAAAGTTTCTCCTCGCACACCCCCGCCCGATCTGTTAAAGCCATTTTGCGTGTGCACTTTCTCACAGTATTTCGCAATTCGGCCCAAAGGGAAAAGTCGAAGAAGGCAGTGGTTTTAATAAAATTAAAACAGGATCTTAAAAAACAAGAAACAAACAAACAAAAAAACTGTTACCTTCGGAACGGCTCCTGCTCATGGTTAAGAAGGACACGGAGGGCCATACTCAAAAACTGAAATGAAACAAGAGGCAGAACTGCAGAAAGAAGGGCCCTCTCTCAGAGAGATTTAGTTGTTCTAAAACATGTTTGTTATTTCTCTCTTTTCTAAAACCAGCATTTACGGATCGTTTACATTTTATTTTATTTTTTGGGGGGGCAGGAGATAGCCAGTCAGCTGTAGCGAAAACAAGGAAGTTTGAAGGAAACTTAAAGGCTAAGAAACAACATTCAGCAGACGTTAGCAGGAATATCTTCGGATGCCTGGAGCGTTGTGTCTCCTGGCAGAGGTTGACCTGCAATGCCAAGTTAGGATGTCTGGGGTGATGGACAAGAATAATCCATATTACTACTTTTGGGGTTGTACCTCGTTCCTTCAACTGTGCTCCCTTCTCTTGGCAGGTCCACAATATTTCTGAGGCAACGCTCTATTGCCCCGATGAAGTGGGCTGCGCTCCACAGCAGCGTTTCCCAAATGAAGCAGACTTTGAGATGTCACAAAGCGGGCTGTGTAGGTTCTCACCAGGACAGTCCTCCTAGCCACCCCGCCCCATAAGGAGAGTCCAGCAAGGCAGATAGCCAAATCAGTTCATGTCAACAAAAGGTCTTTTGCAAAGGTAATGGCTCTTAATGGCCCATCCAAGACCAAACCACTCCCAGACATATTGCATTACACTATGCTGGGGACCATTAATTTCTCTCAGCTACTAGGAAAACGGTTACTCAGAGGAAGCAAGATTATGAGAGTGACAGCTGGAAATATGGCAGCTTTGATCCTTCAAAGAGTGGGTACACGACTACACCACTTGCCACGAAACATTTTGTTGCTGAAGGTTTTTCACGTCTCATCCGTGACATGCCAGCCTTCCCCATCCAATGACTTTGACTGCAGCTTCCATCCTCCCAAAGAAGCATGGCCACAGTGGTTGGGATGATGAGAGCTTGTAGCCTTACACATGAGGATGGAACGGGGTTGCATCAGGGCGAACCAGATCAACACGCTTCACCGCTGAACTAAACAAACTTCCAAACAATTTGAAAAGAGGCACAACTGTGTAGTGGGTTTGCAACCTTGTTTGCTATTTCTGGTTTTCCATTCATCCCCCCACCCACTCACAAAAGCCCCTCTTCATTAACCAAACCACAGGGCGCCTCTGTTCCTTCAGCCCTCCACAAACTGCTTCACAAGCCCCCTCAAAGCAATAAGTGCCCTCATTAAAAGGGACGCTAGGAGGGTCAACATCTCTCCTCCTTCCACCTAACCGTTTCCCCAAAGCTCAAAGAACAACAGGCAATTGTTCTGAATTAATTATAGGCTGCCTCTCAAAACCTCAATTTCTTCAAAGGCTTCCTGGACTAAACTCAGCCTTGAAGCAGCGCCTTCCAAAAGAGGGTAGAATAACTGAGACATGGCACGCTCTCTCTCTCTCTTCCATTTTAGGCTTGTTGGGCAGGGGGCAAGATAAGGCCAAAGAAGGGGTAAGATGGAGGAGCCAGACCCCACCGCAACCTGGCTTCTCGGCCATGAATAAAGCACGCCGTGTAATGAAGTTCTTTGAATAGGATTACATGGCTTCCTTCCAAACAGCTATTCCCAAACTCCTGCAGGCCAGCCAGCCAATATATAAATAAATAAGCAAACAAACAAACTGAGAAATTGAAAGACGCCGAGACGAGACAAGAGCTCATTAAAACTGGATCTTTCCAGAAAGGTCCCTGCCAAAGTAGTAAAACAAGACATGGCCTTTGTGAGGTTTGAAATTTACTCAGCCATGTATGTGGTGGCGAGGGGGGGTATGGGGAAATTAGTCCAAGGACCATGGTGGGGGAGGAAGGCTTCCGGCAGATCTCCAATTTAGTGGGCTAGGTTTGAAATGCAATTAAGGCTGGTTTACCCGTGAAGGGCTGGGATCGGGAATCTGGACGTAAATTGAGTCTTGTAGGAGAAGATTAAAATAAATTAATTAATGAAAAGACTTGACTTGGACTTCAGAAAATTCTGGTCTTTTCTTCCTTCAGGTTAAAAAGTAACAAAAGCTTTAGACGTCCAGATGCTTTTACATAGTTATAATAGAGAATGGCCATGTTTCGTTCACTGGCTTTTTACGAGCAACTTGCACGATGCTTTGGGCTGCTTGTTGTCCTCTCCTGTTCTTCCTCCGGTTCTTGTGCCTTAAATCCAGATGTTAGTTCCAACCATCCCGGATCCACCAGGTCAACAGAACCTACATCATCAGTGCTGACTTACGAAATTCACATGGGTTCAGTGAGTCTACGGAAGTTGACGCTACTCATGGTATCAAAGTCTCGGCCTTCCCTCAGCCTGCAGAAAACCAGACTATTGTGTCTTTTGAAGAATCCATGGAGTGTTAAGGTCTGTAAATGCAGGCTGGCCACAAGATTTGAGAGTACTTTTCTGAATTACAATGTCCACAACCCCACAGCCAGCATGTACGAATTATAGGCCAAACTGCAACACAAAAGTAACTAAATTATAGTCCAAGAAGTTCTAAGGCCATTTTCTTACAAATCTTCAGTGTCTAGGGCCTTACTTTTTGGTACGATCTTTTGTATTTCTAGAAGTATTTCTGAGGTGTAATATCAAAATTGGCCACTAGAGGGAACCCACAGATTACTTCCCTGTATTATTAAATTTTTTTGGGGTTGCCGACAAGGGCAAGGCAACAGGTAATACATACAACTCAACAGGTTACCTGCACAGCTGTGGCAACAGTGATGGTAAAGGGAAATATCATGGCTGCAGAAAAGTAACGAGTAATGCAAGGGGTTGCTTGTTAAAAGTAACATTCCCAGCTCTAGTTCAAACAGCCGAGTCTTCCTCTGCAAACAGTGACTTGAGTAACGAGTAATGCAAGGGGTTGCTTGTTAAAAGTAACATTCCCAGCTCTAGTTCAAACAGCCGAGTCTTCCTCTGCAGTAACTTAAGCCTTTTTAGTTCCAAGAACTGCAGAAAGTTCCCAGGAAAAAAGTCTTTTGTTGCTAGGAAAACGGTGGTGTTTGGAATCTCAAAGGCCAAGCTCAAGGGAGGTGCTTTCAAGGTTCTCCAGCTGGCATTTCACAAATAGGTCATGAAAGCAAATGAAGGAACACGGATTTCTTCAGCGAAAGGTTGCTGAATGTCTCCCGGCTTGGGTTCACGTTCCGGAGCAGATCTTCAGCAGGGGTCTGGGTGGAGAAAGGACCCCAGTCCCTTCTTTAAGCCGACTCAGAACCACCTGCCCGCCTAGTCTGGTAGTATTTCCTCTGATAAAGATGAGAGAGGGGGAAAATCCTTCCCATCACCTGCGCTGGTGGAATGCAGCCTTTGGACTACCGCTCCCATCAACCCCAGGTCAAAGAACCTGGGAGTTGCCAGCCAAAGCCTGCACCAGGAAGGAAATGGGCCCTCTCACATGGAAACCATAAGCTCTGCCACTAGACGAAGGTCTTCTTCGCCCACTGGGTTTTCCTTTTTTTGTATTTGCATGCAATACACCAAAGAACTGCCAGAGAGCTCAGCGGTTTCGGCCTCTGGCTGCAGAGCCGTAGGTTGGAAGTTCGATTCCCCAGATGTGCCTCCCGGACAGGAGCTGGACTCCGTGATCCAGAGGGTCCCTCCCAGCTCTGCAGGGCTAAGATGATGTTCTGACGTGATTCCCGGGTTTGGGCAAAAAGGATATGGGAGCAACACCCCAGCCCACCAAGACAAACAACCCGGTACGCTGGCCGGATCATTCTTTACCCGCTTTGTTTTTTTTCCAGGAAGACAAACAAAGGAGCAGAGGAAGTAACTGTTTTAAGACAAAACCCCAAATCCTCTTGGGTCTTTGCCAAAGCCGTTACTAAAGACACCACGGTTACAAGCTGGGCTCTCCGGGCTGATTAGAGCCCGGGGCTTTTCGTTCATAGCAAATTAACCTCCAGAGAAATAATGGGAAAGCCACTCTTTGCGAGATTTATGGCCCCCCACCCAGCCCTCCAAAGGACGGGAAGGGAAGCAGATTCCTTGTAGACCAGCACGCAGTTCTGACAAACACAGCAAAAGCAAAGGCTTGCAGGGAGAGAGGGACAACTTGGAACCCACTCACTCTGCCCTTTTTGGGGGGTCGGCGGGGGGAGCTTGCTTTCCAATAGGGACTCTGTCTTGGGTTCAAAGACTGATCCTCAGCCTCGGGGCTGCTTGGTGCCACAGACTCCAACAACATCCCTGAGGGCTAGTAGCTGTAGATTTTACAGCCTAGCCTCCCAGCCAGGTGGTTCAGGAAAGGGTTGATCCGGACACACAAGAAGGGGTGGAGGACACTAGCTTGTTTGCATATTTTAAAGAAAGGACCTTCCGGAAATGAGTAATTTGCAAGCATAATCTGTGAGTAATGGCCACCAAGTGGCTTCTAGCAGCTTCATTTGTTGAGTTGATCCACCTCATGTTATGACTCACCACGCAAGCGACGGATAAGACATGAATCAGAGAAGAGAGTTTAAAAAAATTTTATTTGAAAGTTACGGCTTTAAACCACTTGCTACAATTCTGCTATAAGCTCTACAGGAATCCAAGCAGGTCCAGCCAATGACGCTCAGCCTCCAATTCTTAGAAGTATTACAGCAGATTACAAAAGAATGTGAAGGTCAAGGAAAAGGGTCGGGTGAGGGGGGGGCTGCGGTTCATGCATTAAAGCCTCTACTACCACCCTCAAGCTATCTGCTTGAGGGAAATAAGGGATAACTCGAACAGCTTGTATAGCCACTCAGCTCTACTTAATGCTCCCTGGGCTTCTTGAAATCCAGATATCTCAGTTTGTTGTTATTACTATTATTGCAACCAGCTAAGTTAGATTGAGTGGGAAGGGCTGGCCCACAGTTACCCAAAGGTCACAGAATCTTGAAGTTGGAAGGGGTCTTTAAGGCCATCAAGTCCAACCCCGTGGCTGTCTTAAGTTTCTCTTGAATGCCTCCAGCGTTACACTGCTCACCGCCTCCCAAGGTAACTGGTTCCATTGTGTCACTACTCCTACAGGGAAGTTTTTCCTGATATTCAACCAAAATCCGGCTTGTTGTAGCTTGAGCCCATTGTTGCAGGTCCTGCACTCTGGGATGATCGAGAACAGATCCTGCCCCTCCTCTGTTGGACCACCTGTAGCCAACCGTATATCCACCTGACAGTTGTTCTACCCAGCCCACCTCCAAATCCCCATTTGAAACCAGAACTCTCAGCCCAACTGGAGGTGTTGAGCACTCCAATGCTGGAAGCATTCAAGGGAAAGTGGGGCCACCCTCTGTCACATCTGCTTTGACCAGGATTCCTGCCTTGAGAAGGGGGCTGGACTTGATGGCCTTAAGAGATCCCTTCCAACTCCATGATTCTAGGATTCTACAACATGGCCTGGAACTCTACTTGGAGAGGAAACACAGCAGTGCAGAACCATCTTCCTTCTACGGCTACATCTCTTAGCCCTTTGGATGGGCTCAGATGGATTCTGCTGCTAATTTCAATCCCTGCCTATTCATTCCACATTCCATTTTCTTCCACTGCATCCCAGACTCAGAAAGGATCTCTCCCTACTGCCGAGAGGTTGTTATTTCAGACCCCACCCTGTCAGAAATGGGAGAACATTAAATTGGCTCCACCTCTCCTGCCCCACTGCAGACAACTCAGGCCTTTTGCTTGGCAAGAGTGTCTTGAATTGCACATGGTTGAGGTCAAGCCCTTCTGCAGACTGCCTTCCCCATCTCCCAGAAGACACCCGAAGGAAGCCAAAACTAAGAAGAAAGTGGAGCCGAGTTATGACTTCTGGTAAAAAGTGTTGGCTGAACAAGCTAAAGATCTGGGAACAGCGGAAATAGGTTCGTGCTTTGGAGAAGACCTACAGACAGCAGAAACGGATCCACCGCTGGATTCGTGGTCTTAAAAATTGGAAAACCACAAGCAAATAATACTTTTTGTTAAGCCCAATGGTAAAGCTGCACAGTATGCAAGCTTTTGAGCTCTCAAGAGGGTCTTCTTCAGGCTAATAATCATGTGCTGTTGATTCTAACCCACAGTGACCCTTTTCAGGGTTTTGAAGGCAGAGGACACTCAGAAGTGCTTTACCCTTCCCTTCCTCTAGGGGCACCCTTGGGACGGTGCAGCTGGCCCAAGGCTACACAGGCTGGCTTTTCTCCCAGGAGGCACATAGTGGGGAATCAAACTCCCAACCTCTGACTCCACAGCTAGAAACCCTAACTCCCTGAACTACGCAGCCAGCTGAATAAGGATATGCTGTCAAGTCAATTCTGACTGATGGCAACCCTCTGTCACTGCTACCTAAACAGAAAACCTCCTGGCCTCTTCGCGGGGCCTCCATTTAAACTCTTCTCTTGTCAGCTGAGCCAGCATCCCTGGAGATGCAGCCGTTGAGCAAGTAAAATTTCAGTGGCTCGTCTCCATACCTGCAGCTGCTCCAGGAAGAAAAAAAATGGAACTTAACCTTTTGTCATGGATTGATTTTGCCATGCACTGAATTCCCAAGAATGCTGGGCTTCTGCAGGGAGTATAGTCATTTATTTCTTGGCTAATTCACCACTCCTGCAGTCATGAGAGAGAACCTTGATTTTTTTTAAAAAAATGGGCAAGATTTGAGCAGCATTTGAAACAAAGGCCATGACCCAGTTAAAATCTCAACGATTTCAAACCCTTTGCTGCTGAAATTGAGAAGATGCTTAACTTTGGCTGATTCACATCTTCTGTGTCAAGCTGACAAAGACTCATTGAGTCATGGAGTTGGAAGGGGCCTCCTAAGGCCATCAAGTCCAACCCCCTGCTCAAGGCAGGAATCCAAATCAAAGGAGATCTAACACACTGTTGTCCACTTTTCTCTTGAAGGCCTCCAGTGCTGGAGCGCTCACCAACTCCCGAGGTAACTGGTTCCACTGTTTTACTGCTCTAAGAGTTAATTTTTTTTCCTGATATTCAGCCAAAATCTGGCTTCCTGTCACTTGAGCCCATCCTGCACTCCGGGGTGACTGAGAACAGATTCTAACCCTCCTCTGTGCGGCTACCTTCCAAGTATGTTTACATCATGTTATCTCCACAGATGGACAATTTTATTTATTTTTTCACCTCTACCTTGCACCGTATCCTAGTTAGCTTGGCCATTATGGTTGAAATGCCCACGGGGGGCATTCTGGGAATTGTAGCTAGCCAACCAGCCAACCAATATTGCCCAGTTCTTCAACATTGTACATAGAAATAAGTGTATTTGTTAAAATGCTTTCCATTTCCTCTTCTGCAGTGGGATTACAAATTCTTAAACCTCACTTTTGTTCAAAGAGCTTCCTTTATTTAATCCTGGATTTTGTCTCTCTTTGATTCTACATACCTTTTGTCTGCACATCTTATGCGAGCGACTGTATGACACTCTGCTTTCACAAGAGAACAATGTATTCCTGCTAAGACGAGGAACTGAAATCCACAATTAGATTGCATTGGATAGATGTAGTGGTCAGGATGCTACTTCATATTCAGCCTATCCTGCTCGGTTCTCTTGACACTGGCTGGTAGGCCATGCCTCGTCTGGATTTTGGCCAGGAGACTCTTCTGGAGATGCTGAAGATTTTAACCGGGAACTTTTACATGCAAAATACTTCCTACACAGGAAGCTGCGTGTCCATGTCTGCACAGGGCTACCTCTCTAATAACCATCTACTAAACTGCAGCACGAACTCCCTGCTTATTGCAATTGTTTTGTAATCCTTTAAAATGATACTGACGCAAGAGGCAATGAAGGAACACAATGGCAAGCTACAAAACGGGGAAGAGTGCATTCTTTTTTGCTGGTTGTTGTTGT